TTGTCTGCAGGACAGAAAACTATGGGAAAGGGCTGCTCTAATGGAAGCAGTCAGCTGAACACTGCCCACTGGCTGATCTGTGTTAGGAAAGGGATCAGTTAGCTCTCTTAGTTGCTAGGGAGTTTTCAGCCCATCACTGAGACACTGAGTGCTCTCCACAAGGAGGATTTTTGAGTACTGGAAGGTGCAGTACCGGTGGTTTCTGTCTATCACACTGCATGAACTTTCCCAGATAAAGTGATTGATGCAAGTTTGGCATGTACAACAGAAGCATTTTTATTACTTCATTTTTCCTGAGAAGGTAAATATAATTAATTCACATAAGAAACTCATCTCTGACTCCAGTACTCGTTACAAGTTTTTTCCAGATCCTTTGGTGGAAGCTGGGCTCCTGTTTTCAGAGCTGCAGTGAAGGAGTATTTTTGGTTCAGGCCCTTTCTGCACCTTCCTACCCAAGCTGCCTACCAAGGCTTGCAAGGTCAGTTGTAAATCTGAAAGATTTCATGTGTGGTGTTCAGTTGTTGCTTGCTGTAGCACATGTGCTTGTCTCAGCCCAAATACCCGGTGTGCCATCAGAAGTACTGCTACTGTACTTTTCCCAGCAGCTACTCATTTTATATACAGATAACACTGAAGGCTTAGGTTGGGTACAGGTACATTTGTGGAAGGATGTTTGCGGTGCCATGCCCCATGCACAGTTAGCAAGGGCAGACTAATCTCAGAAGAGTAAGACAGTAAGGTGATTCTAATGGTGTTTTTCCTTCCTTCAGTTGCTGTGCACATTTGCCTGTCTTATTCAAAGACAAGTTATGCTAGTGTCCTACTCAGAAAGGAGGAAAAAGGAAGTATTTAGGAGAATTAGCAGTTGAATGATAGCAAAAAGTCCCTTAGGACGTGAGTCTTGTTATAGAGTCTGTCAGGATGTAATGGGCACTAGGTCACAGGCAGGCCAAGAGCAGGGAAGTGCACATGGTGATGGTCTTTGGCCAGTGTCATGCATTGCTGTGTGTGCTTCATTCTGCTCCTGCATCAGAACTGGTGGCAACAAATGAGGGAAAGCTGTTGGGAATGACTGCTACCACTGAGAGCTGCTGAAAGCGCAGTTTGTTACATTAGGCAAGCAGCAGCTGATCACAGAGAAGGCTCATTCAGTGGTCCCCAGACTTCCAAGACAGCTCTTTGAACATAATTTCCTGCTTACTTGAATGAAGAAAATTGTCTGAGAGCATTGTTTGGGGTGGTGCAATAGCCCATAGCAGTGAGATTGTCACAGGCAGGGATATGCTGTGATTATTGAGTTTGCAGGTTAAAAGGTGATACCATTCCTTGTGTGGAACACCATCCTAATGTGAACGTGGTGCTGCTTTCATCACTTGAGCTAAGGAGGCATTGCCTTGCTTAACGCCATAGCAGCATTGAGGCCAGAAGAGTATTGAAAGTAAGAAGGTAAGTTTAACACAAGGTAAGGGAGGTAGGTGTGCAGCAGCAGCCAGAACGCCAGCAGCAATTTCCAAGCTGGAGTGGGTATTAGACACATGTGCTTTGCAAAGAGGGAGTGTCACTTCAAGGAAAAGAAATCTATTCCTTGGAACAACACAAAATCATGCCTGGTGGGGGAAGATCCTGAGCTGCAAATGGTGGTAGGTAGGCAGGGGGGATACTTGATGCAAATACTGTCTTGTGACTCATTCATTCCCACGTTGGTGGAAGGGAGGCACTGGGCTAGATGGACTTTTGGTTTGATCTGATGCAGCTGCTCTCACTGTTATTGTACAGATATTTAATACACATCCATGCTGTGACTGATATGCATGAAGATGGCACAAGGAATTAGAAATCTCTTTGTTATGGGCAGCAGCTGTGTCAGAGAGCTGTACAGTGAGCTAGGGCAGCAGTGCTGGGTAAGCCCATCACATGGCTCCTCCACCAGATGAAGTAAAGGACAAGGCAAGAAGTAGGAAATAGATGAAAATTAAGTTTAGATAGGATTGAAGACTTGCCTAAACACTTCTGTTGCAGTATTTTCAATGGAATGACTACATCATCCACAGGACTAATTTAGATTTTATTCTGGTATTTCTCAAATATAAAAAGTCAAAATTCTTACATCGATCTTTAAAGAAAATCCATGCAAGCAGGTCAAAATGTTTACAACTTAGTTCCCCCCCCCTTCCCTTCAGTTTTCACTTCGTAAACCAAATGTCTGCCCCTCACGTTTTTTTCACAGCACATTGTTAACAGAACAATGCTAGGCTAAGTCAAGGGTGCAGTAAGCACCAAAATAAGTTTTCATTTGAGCAGCCTCTGCAATACCTCAGTATTTCTTGTGGTGTTTAAAGCACATCCATTTCACTTAATTCTAGCTCCATGGGATTTTGAACTTTAAGGCTTCTTTTTCTTTGATACCACCACAGTCTTAACTCATGAAGATCTCAAAACTTAACAGTTATGAAAAGCAGCGGTACAAAGTAGACTGACACTTGCAGATGACAACCTGTCTCTTCCCTTTCTCCTCAGGAGAACCCAATCTGGATACATTGTACAGAATTTATGGCATGAGAAAAATCCCAAATCTGCTCTCTATGCAATAGATTTGGCCCATCTGAATATTCATGTAAAACCAAAATGCTTCTACATTTAAATTCATAGGTAGTAGAAAAAACTGTAGCCTTCCTATTCTCATTTTTATACAGACCCTTTCTGTTGGAGTTGTCACATTTCATTAGTACTGAAGCCACACCACTGTCCCTTTACCACAGTTGTTCCCTGTAGCATAACTGAAATGTTTTCAGTTTATATATCAATTCTTAAAACATTTATCTTTGAAAGGGAGTAGAAGTCAAGCTAAGCAGTACAGCTTCATTCTGAAGGTTGCATAGAGACTGAAGAGATTTATACAACAAATGCTGTTTAAAAAAAAAAAAAAAAAGTCTGGCACTACTGAACAGCTCAAATGTGTGTGACCAAAAAAATAACCAAAATATTTATAGGCAATCAAGTCTAGAGTTTGTTAGCAACAGCAATACTGTACATTTTACATTATTATCAAATACATAATTCAAGAGTTACAAAATAAGATCATGCATTACCACTAAATCTCATACAAGCGTGGATAGGTTTCATTCCAAGAATCTGAAATGGAGGCAAAGCTTTTTTTTTTTATGAATAAGAACTCAAAATTCTGGATTCTTGTTTTTGCTTTCACAGACTCAATATAATCTTGTTACAAGAAAACCTGTACAAATTTGCTCAATTTAAAGTGTTAAAATAACTACTGAACAAAAAAGTGAGCATTAAAGTGATCAGAAAAGGGAGCTAAATGATTCACTCTTTTAAAGGCAGCTTCAGAGCCAAAAGTACCCTTCTACACCATGGGTATGATTTTAACAAAGATTAGCCATTCATCATGCTCAACTCCACCTTGTTTCACCGGGCAAAACAGTGCATTTGATGGTTTAAAGTCGTGAGCTGAGCAAATGTTTTCCCAGTCTGGATTAGGTTCAGTGTAAAGGAGGCATACCCATAAGTGCACTACTGAAATAGCAACACTCCTTCCCTGGCCCGCTCCTCACATCTGAAGGATGGATAAGCTGTTGGCGATACGTCCACCTTTAGGTGCACCTAAACAGTTGTGAGTTCTTTCCAGTTCCGGAAATGACCTGCACCAGGAGCTGAGAGATGGAAAGGAGCGTCCTACCCGCTGTTTCAGAAGTCTTCAGCTTTGTGGCTCATGCCTCTTGTCAGTAGTATTTATGCCTCTTCAAAGAGAGCAGCATGAAGAGATCAGATCATCTGTCTCCCTAGTTTCACTGCATTTACATATGGCACAAGATTGGTTTTCTAGGAATAACTTGTGGCAACAATATTTTTTTCCCTAAAAAAGTGTAACAGCACAAAAAAATTCATAGCAGCATTTTACACAATTTGTGTTAAAAAAGTAGAAGTTAACCATTTGTGTATTGAGTAACAAAAGGTTTAAATTACATTTATTTTCCATTTTACACTCACTATTTACTAGGTGGGCTATTTACAAAGGTTCAAATGTTATATAAGAGAATGAGCTTTACCCAGAATTAACTTCACATGTGAGGTAGTGATCTACCTCAACCTCTGTTTTGGCTGGATATAAAGGAGGTACAGTTGGGTTTAGATCCTAGAAAAAATTCAGAAGTAGGAAGTTCACGTGAATTAGATTGTGTTCTTGTAGAAGAAACCATGCACACACACACATATGGAGAGAGAGAAATCCTATGGTAAAAACATTTAAGACCAACAGTGGATTTAATTTTCATCTTGATGGCTGAAGAAGAAAAAATAATTAAGAACAGGGTAGTTGTCAGCTGTACCTCATTCATTCCAACTAACTTTTTATTAAGAGGCCAGCTTTTAGTTCAAGAATCTAAAGAAATTGATGTTAAAAGAGGAGAGCTGAAAGATCTAATAATTAACTTAAAATTGGGGTTTTCAGCACACTCACCCTCTGAATAAGACAAAGGAGTATTCTTTCTCTACTAATGGAATAAGTATCAACACACCTGTCCCAAGCTCTGGAGGTAGCACTATGAGCTCCTTGCAGGGCAAGACACCTCAACACATGCTTTGCTAACAGACACCTCTGTAACCTAATGGTGCCCCCTGGCTAAGTCTTACTGTCTTCCAAACATTTTTAAATTGTAACAGACTGCAGGAACACTACATTAGATGCTTCTAAGTGAAGATTAGAAGTTTTTGGAACCTGCAGTGTAATTATACCGTGAACAAAACATGTATCAATATTATAAGTTAAAAAAGTGGGTGGAAGAGGGAGCTACAATGCTTTTTCACACAAGTCTTCTGACAGTTCATCAGCTGACCACGTGATGAAACGAAAGTATAGTGGATACTTTTGGTAGCTGCAAGACAAAGTTATTATTCTTGCTCTAGTTATACATTGCATGAAGATTGCATAGGACAAGGCAACCTTTTGGGTAACTGAGGCAAGCAGTGCTTAGTGTCGGTACCCTTTGCTCTTGACAGGCTGAATGTGGTTTAGTGCTTTATTGTAGTCACCCTTATGCATCTCTGCCTTCAGCACATCCATTTACTCAATTACTGCCAGCTTAAGATCCTGGCACTTCATCTGTGGATACCAAATAAGAGTTTAGTATAAGACTATTTGCTCAAGCTTTAACTACTGACTAAAACTCACAAGTCTTAAATAAGCTGAACACCACTGAGATGCATATTTTATTTTAGCAGACATGGAAATTTATATACTCAAGTTTTTTTTTTTTTTTTTTTCATGGCCTATTAAGGCATCTTAAAAAAATCCCTATATGGCTTTGGTTTGCTGAAATACTATTTTACATTGTTAAAAAAGAAAAACATGTTCAAATAAATTTGACATGATGACACATTCACATATTTCACTTAGAACTGACAATTATACAGATGCCTACATGTGATCATAGATGTCTCCCGATGTGATGACATGAATGAAAAGGTAATCCAAATGTTTATCTCACAGTAGAGGGCAACCCAGAAGTCTGTGCAGAAGTGACATATAAGGAGTTATTATCTGAAAGAGGGGGAACCCCAGAGTTTCCATTGGTGGGTGAACAGCTCAGTTTCAGTTTTTCCAAATACTCTGCATGAACAGGCTTGTGACACTGAAGGACCTTGATTGCATCTTCTACTTTAAACCATTCTCTTTTCCTTCCTGAATGAGGAAGAACAGAGTTACAAAATTTAAACAGCAGCATTGGTTGCTATCTAGTCATTCACTTTTTCCCAGTTCTTTGGAAGCTGAGGTTGTCAGGCAAAAAGAGAATGCAAAGACCGGGAAAGAACTGATGAATGCAAGAGATTCACTCAAGCTTACTAAAATGCAATTCATAATAAAGCCTTTGTGATAACACTCTTGAAGAAGATGCTGGACAGAAATTTATATGACCGTTCATATGCTCAAAAAGCCACATCTAGTCATTAGAGAAAAGGATGATATAACTTAAATTACTTGATACTGCCTTCTTACGTTGTCATGCCTAGCAGAAAACCAGTCTTCAGACTGAACATTGCATGTATGAAGTTACAGAAGAATGGGTTGGTCTGATTTCAAAAGAGTGTTTCATATTCAAAAATCTTCATATATATATCCACTTATGGAGTTACTGAGGTTAGCGTAAGTTTTAGAAAATAATATACTTTATACCAGAAATATGTTTATGTTATAAAGTTTCAAGACTTAATCCTACTATGATCGTCCTAGGACCATCTTTTGTTTTTTTAAAGTCCATCCTTCAAAATTCAAGGTCTCTGAAAATACTTATAGACAAGGTCAAGGATAGTATTATTAAAAGTGGGATTAATTCTATTTTTCATTTGGTCTTACAGCATTACAGGTGAACATATATAAACTGCTTGTTTAAGATAAAGCATTTCAGACAGCAACACATTCTACTTTTTAAGGAAAAAACAACAGTATAGTATTTGGCCTTTAAAAAAATTACAAGCTGTGTCCCAAACTAATAATGACACTTATTCCATCCTAATACTTAGAATACTCTAATGTAACACAATGTGTTGGAAGCAACCCTAGTTATATGTGTACTAAGAGTGGAAGAACAGCATTCAATAACTTGTGTTTCTAGAATAGAATTAGTATTCCCCCCAGATTATACAAATCGCTTCGGAAAAATGAAAGAAGTCTGCTTAATACATTTTTAGGTGTAGCATGAGGACAGAGAATTAATTTACCTATATTAACTGAATCCTCCCAGTCTTCCAGGATTTCCGTCACAGTAAGAACATAAACATACGTCCTATGCTTCCGATCCTGGTTCTGCTTGAATATTAGAAGTAGAAGTTTTAATTCTCAGCAAAATAACTTACAGATTTACCACAACTATAAGATTAAAAATCACTTACCTGTAAAGGATACTTGCCAGCAAACCTGGCTTTTGACTAAACAAGCATCTGTACTGACAAGACCCAAAGTGATGGGAAAACAAAAGTTTTATTTGAAACATCTATTCTGTTCTACTAGGCTAAAAAACCCCAACCAAGCCAAAGACAACGCAAACAATTTCGAAACTTGTGAAGTTGTGACCAAAGTATGTTTTTGGTCATCCAGGTCATCTACACAATGCTGGCTATAAAGTTTCACTCATTAAGGGAGGCAAATTAAATAGCCTGTGCTTGCACTGGTGACAAATGCAAAACTCATTACCACCTGCTCATTTGACACATGTGCCACAATCGTGGCACTAACACCTCTTCAGAAGGCACGTGTTTTGCACAAGGCAGGTCAAACAGGCTGACAGAGGTGGTCTGCTCAGGGCAAGGCTGATGTTCTGCAGCCAAGTAAATGGACATTACTCCCTGCTAGCTCCAAAGCAGGCTAGTGACAGTGTTTGAGGTGCTGACTGACTAATCAAACCATCCTTCTACTTGGAAAAGGGCCAAGCTCCTAAAAAACTGAGGAACATCTACAATTACAACTATATTAAGAACCAAGAGATGTTATGGCCTAGCTCCTCTTATAGATGGTTGTATCCTTGTGTTTCTATTTGTTCCTATTTTTTTCACTACAAGCTCAATATAGTTTTAGACTGTTGTGCTTTACTAGGAAATAAAAATTCTAAGCGAGTTCTTTGTTAGCATCACTATTACCTGGAATAGATACATCTATACCATGTATTCTTTCTGGCTGTAATTCCAGAATAGAAGGATTCAGCAGCAGCACTGATTTCCATCTTTACTTAGTTCCATCCCCAGGTCACAAGGTGTGGCCCCCTCAGTGGTACTAAAAAGTGTTTGTGGGGCCGTGTTGTGAAACTGAAGTAGGGCCTTGATTTAAATTAGAAGTAACCTAAAAAAGTGACACAACCCAGATTTTTCTTTCTTCTGGTCTGGCTGGTGGCTGATGCCTTCAGAAAAACATATAGCTGAATTACCAATGAATCACCATCCTTTGCAGCCCCTGTTTTAAGGCAATAACATGATAGATATCCTGGTCTTTTTTTGGTCTGAGCTGGGAAGTGGAGAATACTTCTGTAGATTGACTAGCAGAGTTAAAACAAAGACAAGTTTTTAATGTGTAAGACCCATCCAGTTGTACTCAAACCCAAAACACATCAGAAGAAAGGTGAGTGCTACTAACTACAAACAGGAGCTTCTCCAGTTGTGTCATGGCTTCCATACTTCTCGCAATGGAACGCCTATATCACTGTATATTTCAGACAGGAAATCCCTGTCAGGAACACACTACTTCTGGGTGAAGATTTGTACCTAACTAAGGGAATTCCACTTAATATTCAGCACAACATAATAACACTGGATGTATTAGAAGCTGAAGATTACCAACACCAGTCTACTTCTGTCTAGAACCTGAGCAGAAGTGGGCAACACTAACACTAAAGGAGAGATCTATCTAGCGTGCATCCTCTTGCTGTCAGTAGTTCTAAATCTGATGTTTACACTATGAAACAGAAGTTTTGAACTACATAATTTGCTGAAGGTTAGATTTATCTGTTATCCAAAGCCTTAGCCTTTTTAGTGAATCAATGCCACAGTGAGATGCTTCGTATACAGACCCATCAATTTAGCTGTGTGAAAGTTAGGATTAAATTACTTAAGCAAAATCTAACCAGGGAGGAAGAGTCAAAAGAGCACCCCAAAGAAGGCAACTGTGATATTTTAGAAATCCTAAAGCTATCAATGTTGTTGCTTTGCTGGTGTTTTTGTTTATCTTGTTTGGTTTTTTTGTTTGTTTTTTCCATCTAGGTGTTGTCCAAGTACTAATTTAATCTTTCCAGTAAAAGTACAAAATGATCCCAAGATGAGCTCAGTTGGTTGGAGCATGGTGCTAATAGCACCATGGTCGTGAGGTTGATCCCTGTATGAGCCATTCAGTTATGAGCTGTACTCAAGGATCCTTTTAGGTCCCTTACAACTCAGAATATTCTGTAATTCTGAGAAACTGGAATAAGTAGTTTGAACTCTTCCTATTCAAATCTTCACACATACTGTAACAACTACAGTCTGTCTAATGTAGCATGTCCAGTAGCACTGCAAAATTAGGTAATACTTATTAGGATATATAATACTTAAAGGAAGGTAATACTTATAAACTTAAGTCTGATGTTGCAGTTTATCAATTTTCACAAAAAAACACAAACAACCCCCCACTGTTTTTTAAAACTTAAAAGAAATAGCTCACCTCAAATATCCCAAGTAGTCTGCCTAGCTTCCCCTTTACTCCAGCCTACAAAAGAAACAGGAAAAAGCATTAGCATGAGGTATTAATTCAAAAAACTAAAATATCAGTACCATTCTTCTACATTAGCATGCTCCTCCTTATTAGGGTTATTTAGGCAAGTGTTTTAACTAGATAGTGCTGCAGTGCTTCTGAAGTTTCTAGATTCAGAGTACTTATGAGTAGTAGGGTACAAAAGCTTGTCCTAATGAGTGGATCAAAGAATGAATAAATCTTTCAAGTTTTCCATCCAGACCAAAATACTGTATTACTTACCACATTCTTTGTGTAGTGTATTTTATTAAATATATAAATGATATCCAATACTGAAATAATCCAGGAAAGTAGATAGGACAAGAAACTTATGTACAAGTCTTCAAAATACAATAACAAATTAAACTGTAGCTAATTGCATGGATCTTGCAGCATAATGACTTCTTTCATATAAAAGTGTAGCTTTTGGCATGTAATTGGAAATCCAAATTTATAACCCTTATTCTCTACATTTTTGAACTCTTTTTCTAGCTAGTAATATTACAAAAGGCTTTAAATTCAGAGTTTTACTCCAGCATTTTAAAACAATCCCTGTGTGTATCATCCTGAGCTTAGTGATTTTTATCAATCCAGTTCAGATGGTCATTACTTTCTACTAAGATTCTAAGGTTTGCTTTTCCAAAAGTAATATATAATGCCTCTTCCAACACACATAGCTTAGGATCATCCATTATTCTAAACAAAACTCAGTCCATACGCCTGAGACACAAAGGCATATGTTGCCTACTGGCAGACAAAGCCATATTTAGATTTTTTTGGCTTGTTGTATAACCAATATTTAAAATAGGGCTTCCTAGCACTAAGATGACATTTTCTAATCTTCAGTCTTTGCTTCTAGCTTTATCCAGAGACAATTATTGATGTCTTACATCTTTATATAAAAGGACCATATGGATCTTAATTACATTTTAATGAGAACCTCTGACAAATAACTGGACAGGCTTTAGCAATAAGTCTAATCAAAGTATTACAAGTGAATGTTTACTGTGACTGTCTTTTTAAAGAAAGCAGATGGCTGGTGTTATTTATTAAGCTGTTTTGATGAAGGAAGTCTGATATCAGCCCGTGCAACTCATCAAGTATTTTGTTAATCTAGAGCAAGAGCTAGACGAGAAGTTAATGCAGAACTACATACAATATTCTATTTGTCAGCTGTGATAACCTGTTAGAGCTCATGAAACTGAAATGCATAACTAGACCTGCTGGATAAGTGATTAGGCAGCACATTAATTAGAAAAGTGGCAGGCCCTTATTTTGGTCTGAAAGGGTAAGCTTTGCAACAACAGGTAGCAAAAACTGCTTGTGCTTTACACTGGGTAATGAAAAATCACTTATAAGCCTAAAGGAACATGCTGAGGAAGTATAAGTTTCACTGATGAGTCCTAATTTCCTCAACATTAGAGTACCTTTTAAAAAAGAGAAGCAGAACCTAAAAGACTACAAACTTATGCTTCTGTTCTCAATTTTTGCTTTTCTTCTCATTCAGCACTATCTAGAATTATTATATCCTTCACTTTGCCACAATGTAGAAATCTGAACAACTAGAAAAAGTAATTTCCCATTATCCTATTCTATCAAAAGTACACATGAATCCATGTGATTAGTGTTTCTTTAATACTTCAACTGTCCAAGTGTGCAGCTTTAGCTGCACAAGTTTTGTAACTTCATTTATTTCCTGAAGTTGCAGCAGAGAACAAGATTGTTTAATATACTTAAATATATGGCACAGGGGCAGGACAGTGAGGCAAGTACAGACTCTGAAGTTTCTCAAATGTTAAAATAAGCTTTTCCAAGTACTAGGAAACTGCACTGAAGGAGACTATGCTCCAGCAGAGGGAGAAAAAGAGGTGACTCCTCACCTCAAACCCAAATAACTGCCTCCCCAGTCCATGATCCCAACCTCCCCTTAAACTTTTAATATTCTTTAATTCTTTTAGAAGTCCTGGCCAAGGCCTTATTTACATTACAAAGATTTTTGAAGGCAGGTCTATGGCAGCAGGATTGTGGAAGGACAAAATCTCATCAACAGACAGAGTAGGGCTTCTCTGAGCTGCTAAGTGAGAGTCTGACAACTAGTATTTAACACATGACAAAACTACCACGACCAGCTAAGTTTATCAATACAGAACAACTGTCATAGAGAAGTTTTTTCAACTTATTAGCACCCCATAGTCACGATGTGAATTTATCAGTGTTACTCTAAGTGTAATTTATTTAACAGTTTTTCCTTTCTCCCTCCAAGGAAATCAGTTGTTTAAACAAATACTCTTAGCTGAGTAATTCGGAATGAAGTGATTAGAAGCACTCCATTACACTGAGTGTAAAAACTCCCCAAAGCTTGTAATGAAGCTCCGCTGCAACCACCTGTTGCTATATAAAGGTGGTTACTGTCACTGATGTCTAGTTACTCTCTAGTCAAGGATACATGCTTCCAAAATGTAGCATTGTTCCTGCAAACAGCAGTGTCTTCTGAAAACCTCTACACCTACAAGTGTAAAAAGGTAGTAATTAGAAGTCCCATGATTTTTCTCTGAAAGTAATATATTCAACTCAATCATCTTCATGGTTTTAAAAGTATCTTAAATTTGACAGTGATCTTTTAAGTCTTTTGCTAGCAAAAACATTTCCTTCAAGTTCTTATCGTAATGTCGTTCCTTCAAAATGTGTCAAAACTAAGTGCCAGAGGACCAAGAAACACTTCAGCTTTATCCCCAGAATGTCAAATGAAGTTCCCCATTTCCCACTGGTAAGCTTCTAATCCAGTGCATTGGTTAAGTTCTAGACTTGGAAGCATTTTGCTTCTCATAAAAACATACTTCTTCCTCTGGTCTTTATGTACTCATGACTGTTAAAATATGGTTCTTCAAGTAAACAGAACCTATAGGCTGTTATAAGCATGTAAGGAAGTCTGAACTTCAGGAGAAGAGCCTGAAAACCCCCCAGCGCTTCTTCTGACAGACAAGCTCTTAAATTTAAAGTGCTACACTTCTCCAGAACAATTACCTAAGGAAGTCTAACTACTATGGAAATAAGACCTCAAATCTGAATTTTATACATGTATTTTAGAATTAGCCTAAATCTGGCCACAAGAGGGAAAACTATCTACTTCATCCCATAATCTTTCTGGCCTGGAGGTCATTCCTGCTGGCAGCTCTAGAGGTACAGCACTCTCAGAATTGCGTCAGACTTGCCTTTTTCCTGTAGATGGAGCAAGAGTCATGCTGCAGTTTAATTTTTAAGCTAACAGTCTACCCGGGCAGAAAGCTGTTTAAAATCTGAAAGATTGGAGTTATTTTTAACTCTGGGATGTGTTGGACAGTACTTTAATGGCTACACTCCTGAAAGCACAGTGCAAGACTATTCCTGCCCCTTTTTTGTATAGTCTTATAAAACAAATTGTTTCACTGTATCTGCCATAATCTTTCAGCTGAAAGGGTGCTTTATTAATTTATTTCCTGAAGGGTCTACCTAGTCCTACTCTTTAGCATCCAATAATTTTTTAAATATCAGATGCTCACTGAAGCAGATTCCTCTATTTCTCATGAGAGGTCTTAGATAATATTACTACCATTTTCATTGTTGCACCAGATTAACCTTCAGGATCAGCCTCTTCTTCTCAAAAGCTATATTCACACAGGTCAGGAAATTGCATATTTTCTAGAGGACATTTCAATATACTACTAAGCACAAACAAAGCAAGAGTCTTTTGTGAGATGGAGCAAGAAAAGGAGTGAGAAGGTGCTCCTCCATTGACAAGGCTGGACATCATCAGCTTGCCACTCATTTTTGTCATTTTTCTTTGAACAATGCATGTGCAATCAACTTACTTTTATCTTTCATACTATGCAATTAAAGACTAAGCTCCAGATTCATTAATAGTAGATCCTCATTTAGAAAAGGTTTAATACATTTAATACCCTGGGATTGCTTTATACAGCAACTTGATTTTCGTACCTTACTTTCGGGTTTGTAAATGTTTATTTTATCTAAATAATTAAAATAGTCTGTCAAGTTCCTGTAACCTATGAAATATCAGACAAACTTAAATGAAACATTCTAAATATTCAGTAGAGCTAAAACCCCATATCACTAACGTGAACAGAACTTAAGGATAAAACAAAAATCCGGAGTCATGTACACAGGGAGACTATGAAACAACTGATTACAAAGATCTTTGCTTGGGTTTTAAAACAAAGATTTTAAATACACTACTGTTGGTGTCAAAACGAGGGATATTTAGAGCCAGTGGGATATCAGCACTCCTGTTCAGAAATGCCATTATAATGCTATGATTTTATCCATTTAAATAAATTAATAGAAAATAATGCTTAGTTTGTGCATGACCTAATACTGAAGAAACATTTCAAACGAGTGCCAATGTGTGTTCTTTGAAGTTTATTCATTCACAAAACTCTTAACAGTTCACTGTACTGTAACCAGCTTGCCAGGTGACATTGACCTCAGTATAAAAATAGAAAGGACATTTATCTCTAGAAAGGTCAGTATGAATTTCCATGGCTCAAAACCCTAAATAAACCTGTTTTTTCTTTAAATATGGCACTTTGCAATCCTGTGGAAGCACTTAAGATTCAAGAATATGTAGTTCAAAAATATTTTAATTTAAGGCATGAGCTTTTAAGGCTGATCAGCTACACAAGCTATTAAACCCCAGAAAGTATGAAAGTGTAGAACAAATGTCACCAAATGATTTTTGCTTATTAAAGCCTCTAGCCTTTGAAAAGTCTTTATGCATTTGCAAGCACAGCTCAAAGCTGAATGTAGCAGGCACTTTGTGTCATATTCTGGAATATCATAAGAAGCATAGTCCCTTCAAGATCATCCCTTCTTCACCATCAAAGAGAAAAACCCAAATGTATGACTACAGTACAGTTCAGTCAGCTCTTGTTTGACATGGACTTGGGACTTTACTGTCCCTCATCTTGGGCTATTCCTTAGGTCAGATCAGCAATTAAAACTACCAGTGTTCACAAGAACCCTGAGCATAGGACTGTGTGTTTTAATCCCACCCATGAACTCGTGGCACTAGGAAGTGCCAGGAGTTTCCCCAGAGGTACTACTAGTGCTTAGAAGCCCAAATGTTTGCTGACTCATTCCTGGAATCTTTGCTCCTTTGCTCCTTTCAAATGGACTGCCTTGTAGCTGACTATGTCTTGTGTAGGTCCAAATTGGCTCCTCCAGCAGAACTGAACACTGTCCAGAACAACTTTGATCCAGTGCTTATTTATGCTTTAACCTTGCAGCATGAATCTTCATTCGCGAAGCCTAGCCATGATGATGAAGGCTGCTCAGAGCACTAAATAGTGAACTAGTCTGTTCTCTGTGTAAGATGGGAGGAGGGTCACTGAATCGCAGTTCAGAGATCTCATTTTGATACTAGATAGCACAGCTAAAAAAAAAAAAAAAAAAAGATTCCACATATTAATTAGCAAGAACAGTAATGTATTTTGTGAACAGCAGCAGTCAAACTGGGATGAGAAAATTGTTTAAGACTAGTAGAAATCCTGTAGTTCACTCACTTGCCAGGATGCATCCCCCTTTCTGCAAAATCTTATACCTCCTATTTACAAGCATGACATTCTGATTTTTCTTTCAGTTTTACTTGGCTTAAAGTAACATTTAACATTTTTGAGAGTTTTCCTAGGAAAAATAAATAGCAAATGAAACCCCAGAATTTTGAATTTGAAATTTCAACATTGTACTGCAGTGGGAAACTGCCTAAATTCATCACAACTTAAAGCTCTGTTTTGCCTAGGTGTAGGAGCAGAGATAGAAAGGCAAACTATGGTGCTTTCTTTATAGATAAACAGTCTTAAATGTATGAATTCTCAACTGCTCAGATAGATCAGCTTCTAATCTGTTTAGCCTGGAATGTCCTCAAGGGTCTGTTTATTTCTCTTTCTTATGCAGCTACACATTGATGGTTAGTTCACCTTCAGTCCATTTTAGAAGAGCTACGAGTCAAACATTTTCTTTACAAATACAGAAACGTTACACTACTAGAATATGTCATTTGGCATAAAGTCACAGTTCCGCTTCCATTAAGTGTTTTTATAAAGGTAGACAGAAATTTAGCTATGAAATGAAAGAGTGCTGGGAAGCAAGCTAAGTTAATTAGTTCACCTCAGCACACCATACCCCAGTTCTAATACGAAACTGCAGCTCTTTGAATTTGACAACTACATAGGTCTTAATCAAATACTGGATAAAGGAGGTAGTTCCCTCTTCCTTCTTTGTTGCCATCTGAAGATAGCAGTAGGAAAAAGCAGCTGGATTTTTTGCTTTGTTTTGTTTTTGTTACCTCTTCATACACCTCTCTCACGGCTGCTCCCCCTGGCTCTTCTTCTGGCTCCATTCCTCCACCCGGTACAATCCACTGATCTGGGTATCGGCTACTGCTTACCAACAGCACCTATAAATAATTGCAAGTGACTGTTAAATACAGCTCACAAGTCAAGAATATTGCTAATATCTGCTTTTTCAGCAATGCACCTATCTAGATGGATTACAGACTTCAGAAATGAAACATAATAGGCAACCAGTTGTAAAAAAAGGTGAAACAATTAACATCCAGTCTTTTTAAAACAACTTAAACAAGACAATGTCATTGCAATCTTTTTGTACAAACACTTTCACTGGATGCTTAGACACAATGTGAAGAATACAGAAGACAATACACACAGGAATGAAGGCACACAACAAAAATCTAGTAAAAACTCTCCAATACTGAGCAAGTGTTCAGATCATATAGATGGTAAAGTGTGAAAATTAAGATATTTTTGTCACATAGAAGTTAAACTAATACTTGTGGAATGGCATCTTTTAGAAAAAAAAAAGGACTTCTGAAAATATTTCTAATTTTTAGTCTGAAACAAGCTTCCTTTTAAGTTACTGAAGTGTTATGTTAGTATGACATGCCTACAATATTGCATAACTGAAATACAAGGAGAGCACTTCATTGGCCTTTGTCCAATTTGGCTTCTTTTAAACATTTATGTAAGAGGAAAAGCCACAACACATTGAATTTGATTTTTAAATTTAATAACAATTTTTTTCCCCAAGATACTTTAATTTCACTTGACTCTAACTTGATCCTATCCTTGATATGCACTGATTTAAAACCCCCTGTCTATAGGACCTGTCCTTCATAATATTCAGAGCTGAAAAGGTTTTATCTACCTGTCCAGCAAACTGTATTTAGAGTAATTTTGCAATAGAAGTTGATGAAAATAAAGACCGTGATTCAGGACCACATGGAAATAAACAGTTTAACTAGTATTTGAGTCACATCCCAATTAGTAAGTCATAGCCATCTGTGTAGTAAAACACTTCATATTCTATGGAATACTTACATAAAACCTACCCTGAAGTCAAAGGACAACTGTGGGGAGTACAAGGGCAGGGTCAGTGCTCAAATCTTTAACAGCAATTAAAAGACTAGCAACAAGAACCTCAGACTAAAGGTTAAAGTTTTAACTGGTGCCAGAAGACTGAAGTGACAGTCCCAGTCCTCACCAACTACCCTTATGGACTTTAAACTTATCCCCTGCTGGATTAAGTAGGAAAATGACTCCCTGATGACAGCAACAGTGAAATGATTACTACTTATACTATGTGGCACTCATGGAAATAGGTTGTAGGTTCACCTACAGGAACTGAGGAGTGTAATTAAGATGACTGCATACTTTGTGAATGCAGCAATGCCTGTGCATACTGAGGTGCACCTGGAAGAGCCTTATCTGATAGGTACCATCTTGTAATGTTTACCTTATGTGCAGTCAAGATTAGTCCCTACTCTGAAGGATTCTCCACTGTACTAATTTCCCCCCAAATTTTTTCCTACGCTAAATAAGGAACACAACAGTTAGTACAGAAGCATTCTTAGCATGTGATCTAAATGTTCATTTTTTTCCAGTCAACTCAGATATTTTACTCAACTATCTAAAAACCTAAAAAGTTAGCAAAGCAACAAGGTTAGACACAAATGCACCTCAACTTGATCTTCACGGCCAAAGGTTTTGATTTCCTAGGATCCTCTGGCATTAACAGACTTCCAAAGAATACACAACTCTACTAAATGTAATTTTAGAAAAAAAATCTAAACAGGTGAAGCACCTATATCACTACAAAGAACCCCATGTCAGCAGTACTTAAAGAACAGTTGTAAAAAGTGAGTTATGAATTCACTTATGGGAGTCCAGATATAAGCATTACATATTATTTTCTGCTGATAAAGCTAGCACTCCAGTCATAGCAACAATAATTAACAAAAGGATGATTATATCACATTAAGTCATTCCCAGCTTGGAAGAACAGTTTTAAATTGTTTAGTTAAGGCTAAACATAAAATTCTTAATTGCTACTACGGGATAAATCAGGTTTCTCATTTTGGTAGTGTAGCATAAAGCCAGGAATCTTTTATGCGTTTATATATAGTAGTTGACTACTGCTAATATGATCAACAGACTATCAAGCTGTGTTTGTACATCTATTAGCTTTAAATTACCCTTTTTAAAAGCAGAAACAAATAGATCTAGCAAGTAATCAACATTAAAATACATTAACTCTTGTAGATAGGCTCTACAGCTGCATATACAATGAACTCCCAAGCATTACAGCCTGGAAATTCATTTTAGTAACTATCCAAATCTCCACTAACCCTGGAACTGAAGCATTTTCTCAAGCATCTTTTCCTCTATGCTTTATTCTCCTATTGCTTTTACAGAATCCAAGGGAGCACACTAAGATATATCCTTGAGACCTTCAGATGCACAATCTTTTTCACCCATTAACATTAATCACATGATAATGCCACCAGGACATGAGGCATCCATCCTGGGGTACGCTATCAAAAAACATACTCGGTGGTAATCAGATTCTGCAAATGCTGAGAGCTGACAGCTAGCAGTTGCAAGATTGTGTAGTAAGGCTGAAAAGCACTCTACACAGATTCTTTCAGACATAGTATCAAGCAGTCTTGCAATCACTTCCATGTTTTTGGTATGTTGTTTTTCATTCCATGCAGTGAATGTAGTTTTCAGGTCTTTCCATCAGTAAGTCTCCAGAAGAGACATCCTGAATTACTCGGCTGAAATACAAATGTCACTTAACTATGAAGACACCAAAGAGCTGTGGTTCATTGACAATGCACTCACATGCCAAGAGGGTGCAAAATCAGCAGCAAAAATCCAGCAGTTCATCTTCCCTTAATAAAAGATATAATTTTCCATAATGCTGCCAAGTGAGGATGTAAAGCTGCAAAATTCAGCAAAGAGAAACAAAGGAAAAATTCTTCCACTACGTGTTATAGCCAAATTTCACCTTGCTTTCAAGTCCAGGAATAGCAATGACCTTTGAGTGCAGTGAGGAGGAGTAACTGCTAGCTCACGTACTTGTAATAAGCACCTATCAATACACATAACCATGATATGGTTAACCAAAAACCCAAAGGTAATTACAGTGCAGGTGGCATCATGGAACTTGGCCACTATAAATGCTAAGCCTGCAGACAAACAACTGAAAATTTCTAAAGATGCAAAAGTTTTGGCTTGTTTAGTGTTCTCAAGTCAAAAAACACTTGTGAAACAGTTAGCAGCCCTATATTCCAAAGACCAAAATGGCAACAGCTCACAGTAGTACAAATTACAACCACAAGCTACTCTCATTATATATGTTCTTCCTATTAAGCACTAGAGAAGTAGAATACAGTTTAAATTTATATAAAATATCATTGTTTTCTATCTTCCTCAACCGTAGGACACTAAAGCCTACAAAAATAACTGTATTAAAAAACAATTTACATTAAAACCCGTGGTTAAAGTTGAAAGTTGCTAGACAGAACACCTCCCCACCCCAGCTGGATTCTTTTGACTTCAAAAGAAAGTCATCCACAACCTGAAGTAAAAGGAAAAACAAGCTTACAGTTGAAAACACATCATTCCAATTCCACAATAACTAATTTGTCATTAGATATAAGTTCTCTACTCCCAGCCTAATCACATCTATCCCTCTCTTCCTCACTGCACACCCCATTTTTTCCCCTCAAATCACACTCACTAGCTATGTCCAGCTTGCTGTTTGAATTACCTAATAGAGAGAGGCAAGCCTGCCTTTTCTTATAGTAAAGGTGGCAGTCAAAAGGAATAATGTTCAAGAGAAAAAGAATCAACCCCTCGCTCCCAAAGGACCACTGAGCAAGTGTGACTCAGCTGCAAAGAACACTGCACTGCTTGGGTGTACTACTAAACACTGCACAGAGAGGGAAAGGAGAAAGCACGTGCTTTAAGGCATTAAAAGGTACCTCCCAAGTACAAAATAGCATCAAAACCCTGTAGATGTACGGTATGTTTTCACAGGCATCAGAAGCATTAAGAGGAGAACACATCCAAGCCTACTCTGAAAAAAAAATAGGACCCATTCTGATGCAAGTTAATATAATCCAATTTAGCACACTCAGTGTGGAAACTTAGCCTACCTGATTGGTCTGCTGAAGTTACAAGCATCTAAAAGAGTCAGAAAGATGGTTTAATCCAAATACAGCCAAAAGGTCAGTCAACCCCTATGATTTGTTTTAAAATGGTCATAAACAGATGCTCAGGGAAGAATACAAACAGTAAGTATTTTATTATTCTCTAACACTTTAAACCTCCAATTGTTTTCAGCTTAGGAGCTTCCTAAAAAGCACTGGGAAACTACTTTGAATGCTGCAACATAGGAACACTATTGAGAAGTAAGGAAAAGCACCTCTTACAAACACTGGATCACACTTCCAGAATTCACTATATAAATTTCTAGGCAAAAGCACACATCTTGAATTCGAGAGCATATGTCAACCTGCTACTATAGTTAAAAGATTTCCTTTATCTAACACTTTTTGCTATTTTAAGAATCACTGCCTCAGTAGTTCTGAAACAGTTTCTCAGTTTCCCTATAGGCTAACGTGGTATCCTTGTCCTAGAATGCCATTGCCTCTTTTTGGATTCCAGAAGGTTGAAAAATGAAATAGAGCTTTACAGCTTGCTATAGCAATGCCACACAGACAGCATTTAGTAGGGAACATTTGCCTTCCTAAAAATATTCTCAGTAGAGGGACTGCTTATAGTCCTTATTTATTACTGCAAAAGTTTTCAAAATTACTTTTTAAACCTAAAGATATAATGTGCACAAAGTTATCTAGTTAACTAGTATAAACCCTTTAGGATCAGATTTGACAGCATTTTAAAAACCGAGACTGCGGCATCTTTACTTTCTCCCTTACAATGGCACAATGAGCTCAGGAAGCTGATCTGGCTGAAAACTGATTGTCCATTAAAACTCAGTTTTCAGCCTGCGCACACAACACTGATCAGGACACAGCCATTCAAGGGTCAGCGCTGCACAAACTGGGGCAGAAAGGCACAACTGCAACTACCC